ACAACCCTTCCCCCTCCTCTTTAATACTTAATAATATTAATAACAGCTAACATTTCTAGAGTGTTTTGTAGATCCAAAGCACTTTTCTCAACCTTACTTGCATTTGAACCTGACAAGCCAAGCAGTGGAAATAATATTAGTTCTATTTCCCAAATGAAAAAATGAGACCCAGAGAGATCACAGTTAGTCAATCAATCCATATTTATTAAATGCCAGGCACTGCATTAGGCTGTGGAGAGACAAAGAAAGGCCAAAGACAGTCTCTATTCTCAAGGAGTTCATGGTCTAAGGGGTAATGGAATTGGAGCAGCCATGCATTCCAACCCATACCCACAATAGCATGCCTAACTCACGGCTACCAGGTGAAGTGGCTTACTAGAGGGCACACAACAAGGCAGGGACAGCCTATAACTTCTGACTTCCAGTCCAGGGCTTCTTAGTGCCCCCTCTTGCCTCTCACATGATAGGATTATAGATTTAGAAATGGAAGGTCTAAAGTTTAGAGGTTGTCTAATCCCTTCCTTTTTACTCATTGGGAAACTGAGGCTCATAAAGGGCAAATGACCTGCTCAAGATCACAAAGTTAATAAGTGTCTGAGCCAGAATTTCCACCCTGGTGGTATCCTCTAATTCCCAATCCATTGTCCTATCAACTATGCCACAAGTGCCTATAGTAGCTACCTCATAGGGTTGTTGAGAATCAAATAATAATAATAATTAGAAAGCATTTTGTAAACTTAAAAGACTACATAAATTTGGGATGTTATTATTATCTATCTCTTCTCTAAATTCCTTCAGCACTTATAGATTTTCCTGTGTATAATTGCCAAAGCTACCTTTTATTGGTGTTTACTTTTTTTATGCCTGTCATTCTTTGTTTTCTAATTAGATTATAAACTTCTTGGGGACAGAAACCATTTCTTATATTTGTTTATATCCTCCTAGCACAGTGCTGGGCATAGTTAGGTACTCAGTAGTTAATAAACAAACTTTGAGTAACATCCAGCTAAAAGGAGATCGTCCAATCCCACCTAAATTTATACTGCATTAGCTCAGTTCCATGACATCAAACAATGGTTTTGAATGAGGCCAATGGAGACAGTTCAAGTCATCATAACCCTACAGGGTTTCTAATCTGGTCTCTCTTTAGGTAAGTCAACCGTAGGAAAATTTGAGATACACAAAGATGGTCCAATGAAAAGCTATTTCATTTGAAAGCTAAATGTACTGAACTCAGAACTAGGATATCCATGTGAGCACCTCCTGGGCCATGGGACTTTTTGGTGTAGATTCAGCCTTGGGAAGTCATAACCCTAAGCTTTTGTGTAATCCTGGCTTTGAAAGACGTCACAGGCTCAGGCCAGGCATAGGTCAGAAACTCTCTTTCTACTACTCCCTCTAGGAAAGGCATTTTAGAACAGTGGGAAAAATCTGGATAACAACTCAGAAAACCCTGGTGCTAGGTGTTATGAGCTTAGGTGTCTCTTTACCATTTAATGCCTTGAGTTTCCCATCTGAAGAATGGAAGAATTGAGTGAGGAAGATGTTGAGGCAGTTAAGTGGTATAGTGGAAAGAACACATATCTTGAGTCAGGAGAAGACCTGAGTTCAAATCCTGCCTCAGACATTTATTAGCTGTGTGACTCTGAGCAAGTCAACCTCTGTCTGCCCCAGTTTCTTCATCAGTAAAATGGGGGTAATAATGGTACCTACCTCCTAGTTGTTGTGGGGATCAAATAAGATAATATTTGTAAAGCATTATATAAATTCTAGCCATTATTATACAGATAAAATGGAACAAGTGTGGGTCACCACCAGAAAATGATTAAAGCTTTGATTTGACACCACAGTTAGACTGCTATTGTTCAGCCATTTCAGTTGCATCTGACTCTTCATGACTTCATTTTGGGGTTTTCTTGGCTGACCAGCCAACAATTAAACGATTAAAGCTTGTTGTACCAGATCTCAGTAATACCTAGGAAGGGAAGACTCTGGAGGAGAGAATAAGGCTGGTGGTTTTTCAAAGTTCTACCTCACTTAAATCCAATTCATGGCAAGTCGAGACCATCACCCTCATGATGTCTTTGCTGCTCTTCAAGAATGAAGAACATTGGGAGCAGCTAGGTGTTGCAGTGAATAGAGCTCTGGGCTTAGAGTCAGGAGGACCTGAGTTCAAATCCAGCCTCAGACACTCAACACTTACTAGCTGTGCGACCTTGGGCAAGTCACTTAACCCCCATCACCTCACCAAAAAAGAAAAAAAAAAAGAAAAAAAGAATGAAGGACAGCTAGGTGATGCATTGGATAGAGCTGTGGCCTTGGAGTCAGGAGGACCTGAGTTCAAATCCAGCCTCAGACACTTAACACTTACTAGCTATGTGACCTTAGGCAAGTCACTTAACCCCCATCACCTCACCAAAAAAGAACGAAGGACAAACAATAATACCTACCAAATGTGCCTCTTGTCACCAGCATCACTCATTCACTCTGCTTACTACTCATCCTTTGTGTATTTGTACATAGACACCTGAAGCCACAGGTTTTATTGCTACTACTTTATTAGATTTGGTGAATTTCTGCTAGTCTACTCCTATTCTTCCTACATTGTTGCTGCTGTCTATGGAATCTTGCTTAGTGGGTATAGCTGGACAATTTTTTCCTTCCTCTTTACTTTTCAATGTAAAAGCCTTTTTTTATTAGAATTGCAAGACTCCAGGAAAAGTACATTCTTCCCAGCTTTTGTTAAGCATACTCCGTCACTGGGTAGGAATGCATCATTCCCACTTTTTATGGAATAATCTAGAAATCAAGTCACTTCCCTTTGATGGGCCTCATTTTCCTCATCTGTAAAATAAGGACATTTTACCAGACATCTCTAGCTCTGACATTCTGCCATCGCCCAAACGTTCTGGCTTCCCCACAGACTTTGGGTCAAATGCTCCATTGTATTGAATCCTGGTCATGCTACAGGTCTTAGGATGGGGGGAGCCTCTGCTAGCCACTAACCCATTCTTCCTGACCCCCACCCTGTATTTGCAGTCATGCTAATCCTGCACAAGTACTATTTCTTCTGTGACCACTACAAGTTCATCCCAAGGGGGAAGGTGTGCGACAGACACAAGGACTGTGCCCTGGGGCAGGATGAGGAGCATTGTGTCGAGAGCATCCCCAATGAAGATTTGCCCCTGATCGGAGGTGAGTCCCCAGGAAGTAGAACAAGATTGGCTACTGATCTTGGAGTAAGGAATACCAGAGTTCAAATCTTGCCTTGGACACTTATTACCAGGGTGACCCTGGGCAAGTCACTTACCCCTGTTTGCCTCAGTTTCCTTATCTGTAAAAAAATCTGTAGAGAAGGAAATAGCAAACTACTGCAGGATCTTTGCCAAGAAAACCCCAAATGGGGTCATGAAGAGTCAGATGTGACTGAAAAATGACTGAACAGCAACAAAAAATTTGGAGCCCAAGACACTAAGGAATGAGAAAAACAGACATAGTGGAAAGTTGCAGGGAAAGTGCTTTAGTGACATTGGGATTGGTCCTAATGGACCCTGCCCTCCGTCTGGTTACATGAGTGGTGGGGAACCTGAGGCCTTGGGTGCAGCCTTTTGACGGAGTACAGGTTTTTCAGAACAAATCCTTAATTATTAAGAGGATTTGTTCTGTGGAGTGTGGATTCAGTCAAAGGGCGGCACTTAAGGACCTAGAGGGCCACATGGGGCCCGGATGCCTCAGGTTTTCCACCCCGGGGCTAGACCTTAAGGCAGTGTGGGCACTGTGATATTTGGGCACGGGATATTGAAATCAAGAGACTTAGGTTCAAATTATGACTCTAGCATAGTTTCTAGCTCCATTACCTCGGGCAAGTCACAGCCTTAGAAGATGAGCTCCTTGGGGGAAGGGGCTGTGTTTTGTCTGGGCCTGTTTCCTTGTCTGGGCCTGTTTCCTTGTCTGTAATATGAGGATAATGATATTTGCACAAGGTTGTTATGAGGAAAGCACATTCTGAACCTTGAAAGCACAATTAAAACACGAGTCCTCAGTATTGTTCTTATGGCCCAAACTTCGGAAGCTCCCCATTTGCACAAGTCTACCATTTTAAGGGGACTAGGTGAGAGGCTTGTCCAGAGACAAAGCTAGTGGCTGGAACAAAGTCATAGATTTAGAGACGGAAGGAATTTTAAAGGATATCTAGGGGCAGTTAGGTGGCACGGTGGATAGAGCACCGGCCCTGAAGTCAGGAGAACCTGAGTTCAAATCCACCCTCAGACCAAACGCTTGACACTTACTAGCTGTGTGACCCTGGGCAAGTCACTTAACCCCAACTGCCTTAAAAAAAAAAACACCACCACCTCATTTTACAGATAAGGAAACTGAGGCCCACAGAGGTTGAATGACTTGTCCAAGGTCACACGGTAATAAGTGTTTGGGGCAAGATTTGAACTCAGATCTTCCTGACCCCAGGCCTGGAGTTCTATCTACTGTACCATGCTACTCTTCTAATGGCTTAGGCTGGTGAGGGACATAAGAAAGACTAGAAAAACAACTGAGATCATCCATGTTTATTTGGATGTTAAGTGAATAGCCGAAGGCTATTCATGGCACAGTGGCATCAGAGGACCTGGATTCAAATCTTGTGTAAAACTTCCCAATTGTGAGACCTTGGGCAAGTCACCTTCCTTGGGCTTCATGTGTAAAATGAGAGGTTGGTCTAGATGGCCTGTGAGGTTCTTTCTAGCTCTCTATCTTCCATCCCATAAAATGGAGCCACTTGATCACCTTCATTGGAATGCAACCTTGCCCCTACCCGGAATGCTCTGTTGAACAGGAGAACCCTTCCACCGGTGGCCAGGCCAATCTAAGCCCACCGGCATTTATGAAGCGCTTCCGGTGTGCAGTTCTGGGCGTGGTCCTGGAGGGGGAGGGGAGTTCAGGGGCGGGGGGAGGGGGGCGGCAAGCAGGGTGACGGGCAACAAAGACATAACAGAACACAGGCCCTTCCCCCAAGGAGCTCATCTTCTAACTGGGGAGACAAGTAGGGACGTACAAAACATACACAGAAGAGGCGGAAGTCGATCTCAAAGGGAAGGCGCGGAGGCCGGGGAGAAGGGGGTGAACTAGGAAAGGCCTGCTGAGCATGGCGGAATTTGAACCGCGTGGAGGTTAGTGGAATTTGGGAGACGTCTTAGGCGCAGTCAGTCAAAACCAAACCAATCGGCTTTCTTTACGCTGGTGAGATTGCAGAATCGTCCCTTCACCGATATTCTCCTCAGACTTACCTTCCCTCCCACGCCCCTAAGCTGCTCTTTCTTCTTTCTTATCCTTCCCAGAAGGATAAGAAAAGAGGTGAGGCTAGTCTCAGAGTATCTTGGGGGATGGGGGGGGGGAGGTGCGGTGCGAGTAAGCCCAGGAGGGTGACTGACAGCTCACAGGCTGACCCAAGTCTCTCCACTTCCTAGTCCGTCTCTCCAAGGACAGATGCACTCTACAAGTGATGGACAGAGAGACAGATCTCTGGTCCTCAGCCTGTTTTGATAACTTCACAGAAGCATGGGCTAAAATCGCCTGTACCCAGATGGGATACAACAGGTATCTTTGTCTCCCTTCAAAACCTCTTTCTTCTCTCCTCAACCTCCCCATCTCTTTCGCTCCTTACCATGCCTCCCTTTTTTTCCTCCATCTCCCTTCTTTGCTGTTTTCTCCTTTTCTGGCAGCCAAAGCCCCTTTGAGTAAAATTACACTTTAAACGGGGCTTAATTGTACTGGTAGATTTTAATCCTAAAGCCTCAGACACTTCCTAGCTATGTGACCCTGGGCAAGTCACTTAACCCTGTTTACCTCAGTTTACTCATCTGTGAAATGGGCTGGAGAAGCAAATGGCAAACCACTCTGGTATCTTTACTAAGAAAACCCTAAATGGGGTGACAGTCAGATACAACTTAAAACAACTGAACAATAACAAAACCCTTGCAAATCTGCACGTGGTATTCAAAACCAGTCCCAAAATCCTGAGTTACGATATGGTGGGGCAAATATCAGCCTGCCTATCTGGAGTCTTGAGACAAGAGAAACTCCCAGGTCTAGCACTAACTAACTATGTGACCTTGGCAAAGACCATTTCACCTTTACCGACCTCTGTCCTCATCTGTAAAACAAGGAGATTGAGACTAGGTGACCTCTGAGTAAGGCCCCTTCCAATTCAAAATCTATGATCCTGTGATCCCTCTGGCTAGGTCTTGGTCCTCTCAACCACAAAATGAAATGAAAGGAGCCTAGATTAGATTGTCCCAAAGGTCCCTTCTGCCTCCAATATTATATAATTCTATTATTCTAACACAAAATACCTATTTGGAATAGACGTACATGGGGACCTTTCTGTTCATTTTCAGTGTGGGATAACCTTCCCAGTTTTTCCACAACGTTAAGATGCTAGGTAAAATGGCCAGGGGCTCTGGTCACTCCTGGTCCTTCACCATGAAGACAAAATGCAAAAAAAAAATATATATGTATATATATGTTTCCCCTGAAACTCTCCAAGCACATGCTCCAGGAGCCTCTGAAGAGGAAGAGGGCTTCCTGCTCTTCCCGCTTTGCATTTCCAGAATCATAAGATTTAGAATTGGAGGGTCATCTAAGGCCCATCTGAAAGGTCATCTGGTCCAACCTCCTCATTTTGCAAATGAGAAAAATGAAGCCCAGAAGGCTAATCAACCTGTCCAAGGTCACACTTTTAATAAAGATTTGAAACCAGACTTTCTGATTCCAAATCCCATTCACTTTCCACCATACCATATTGCATTCATCCACCCTCCTTCATTTGCAGCACACCCTACAACAGTGATGGTGAATTCTCTCCTAATCCCTCAAACCTACTCCCTTCCTCCACCACCACATCCTTCTCCTAGCCCACCTTTAGCCACCTCCACATCCATCCTTCTGCACTGGGTAGAGTGAGCCTCTGCTCTACCACCCTGAAGCCCAGGTTAGATACCAGCTTCCATCCCCATGCACAGCAATCAGCCTGGGCATCAGTTGCTTAATACAGAATCATCTCGCTCTCTCTAAGTGATGGGACCCTGGAACCTCTTTCTTTCCTGAGTTCTCCAAAGTCTCTTGCTACTTTGGTTCTGGGGTGCTACAAACCAAAGCCACATGTCTGAGATTTTCCTCTATTCTCACCCCACCCACACACTTTGCTTTAGACTTCTCTTGCCTCATTCCCTGGTTTCTTATTAAGCCTTAATCACTGAATGGGCTTTGCCTCGTCGACCTGAAACCTGTTAAAGACCTTAGCTTGAAAAGGCCAGGGTCCCCCACTACATCCTGGGCCATCTCCAGTTGTTCTGATCTATATGTAGCTACTGGACCCAGATGGCTTTGGAGGAGAGAGTAAGGCTGGTGACTGCACATCCCTCCCTCCCTTAAATCCAGTTCACTTGCATGTCATGGCATCACCTCCCTGATATCATAGTCCTCTTTGAGAGCAAAGGACAAACAAATGATAACAACCCTGGTTTTCTAGTCCTTCTCACCTTAGCTGGCACCACTTCTTACCCTGCCAGGTGGAGTGATTAAAGTGCCCATTCCAGCAGCAACACCATTTAGTCAGTTCCGTAGATGTGAAATTCACAAGCCTGTCAGTACCATGGATGGAACTATTCCTTTGTAAAAAGGTCTTTTCTGGGCACTAGAGAAACTGATTGAGCAAAGAAAAGACAAAAAAAGAAACCAAAGATAGAATAAATCAAGGATGACTATTGGAGGAGGTAAATTTTGATCCAGGATTAAAGGGAGTTCAGGCACCTGGTTTGACAGAAAAGGAAAGCACTTCCAATTGAAGAGAATCTAAGTCTAAGACCATTCAGAGAAAGGTCATGATCCTGCCCTATCTCTTCCACAGATAGCATCACTAAAGCACAATAAGAATGTATTAAGCACTGACTATGTGCCAGGCACTGTGCTAAATTCTGAGGGCACAAAGAATGGCAAAAATAATTTCTGCCTTCAAGGAGTTTACATTCTATTGAAAGAAACCCTCCTCAAACCTTCTCCATCCAAATTCCTTGTGTGAGGAACTGGAATCCCCAATTCAGATGAGCTTCCTCTACCACCTGGGTCTTCTTGCCACTTTGTTCTCCAGTGGACCAAAGGTACTGCTGGGGAATGAGGTAAGAGAAAGGGGTCCTGGATACAGGATGCAGTAGGAAAATTAGGACACTTTTTGAGAGAGAATGTCCCCAGCATTTCATGATTAATAAACATTTACTGAGGGCCTGCTATGTGCTAGTTGTTGTCCAAGGTATAAAACATCTGGGCTCCTCTGGGTTAATGTCTTGGATCTGGAAGTCACATTCCCCCACCCTACTCTCAACCTTGGGGGCATCTTAGTCAGAGCAAAATGCAATAGGTGGGGTCATGCCCTCCATCCACTCCTGCCCAAAGAACAGAAGCAGTGGCCAGAATGTGACTATGCTAACACCAAACCAGAATGCATAAACAGAGACAGTGCCACCCACACTCACCCAAACCGCCACCCATTCCCCTCCCACACTCCACATCATCCAGAACCTATATATGCCAATTTGGGGAGGGAGGACTAGGTCCCCATTGTCACTATCTAAGTTCCTACTCCAGATAACACCTCTGATCACCCCCCAGTTTGAGCATGGAGCCTACTTTCCAAGCCGTGAAGATTGGCCCAGAGCAGCGACTTCCTATCAGCAAGATCACAGCCAAAGACCAGGAACTCCAAGTGCAGAATTTCTCAGGGTAAGCGAGAGGCATCTTCAAGCCTTCAAAGAGTCAGTCAGTGGACGATGGTGGCTGAGCTATTGCACAGCTAGATTAAGAGGAACTTAATCTAGACACCAGGAAAAACTCCTGACCAATAGATTATTCAGTCCTGGGAGTCTGTGGAATAATGTCCCTGGGAGATTTTTTTTTAAACTATGACATACAGCCATCTACCTAAGCTGGGCAAAGTGCTATCTTGCCTGAATGTAGTTGACCTCAATATCAACCAGAATGGTGAAAAATAATGCATTTTCTAAGTGCCCCATGTTCCCTACTAAACTCTATAAATCTTCCATTTTCCTAGTACAGTTGTAAAGATTGATTATCTCAGATACTCCCTACCCAGTCACCCAGACCCACAAATAGAGGCCTCTTCAATGTTTTCAGATCTCACAGAAAAAAAAAAAGATTCTGAAACTTTGATCAGGCACCAATTACCAGAATCATAGAATCTCCACTTGGGAAAGGATGTCAAAGGCCATTTAGTCTGACCCATACCTGACTAAGAATCCCCACTAGACCATCCTCAACAAGTGATATCCAGCTTTTTCTTAAAGACATCTGATGAGAGGTAGCCCGTATTTGGATAGTTCTAATTGCTGGAAAGAATTTCCTTAAATAGAGCCCAAAACCACTTCTTCATGTAGGAAACCACATGTATATAGAACCACTCCATCGCAGGCATACAAATATACATACACCCCAATTCTGACCATAACACATGAATACACCTATTGTCTCTGTCTCTCTGTCTCTCTTTCTTTCTCTCTCCCTCTCTCTCTTTCTCTCCCCCTCCCTCTTCCCCTTCTCTCTCCCTCCCCCATCTCTGTCTATATCTCTGTCTGTCTGTCTTCCTGTCTCTTCTGTCTGTCCTCTCTCCATGTCTCTCTCCCCCCTTCTCTTCTTCCTTCTCTCTCTCTCTCTCTCTCTCTCTCTCACACACACACACACACACACACACACGCACACTAATCTATGCTTAACTAGCAGAGACCTCTTGAAAATAAGCATTGTTACTGCCTCTGTTTTTTGTTGTTATGCAGTGATGAACGGGTTGTGTGTATGCTCCTTCCCTCCCCAAGGATCAAATTTTAAAGAAGAAAGGACAGTAGTAGTCCAATCATTTATCTTAAATACCATTTTCAAAAAAATGCATCTGCTCACCTTCCTGTTGGCAACCTAGGGAGCCATCCTATGTATATTTCCCCAGGTTCTGCCTTCCTCCTCCTTGCTGTCAGGAGTTTGGTTGGCATATTACAAGGCCAATTTCTTGTAAGATTACACTGATCAAGAACTGGAAGTTTGAAATATCATAGGATTGTATTTTAGAGCTGGCAAGAACTTTAGAAGACATTCTCTACAGATAAGGAAACTGAGTCCCAGAGAGGTTAAGTGGAATTCTTCAAGTAGAAATATTTATATATATATATATATTTTTATTATATATATTTTTATATTTATTATATATGTGTGAGTAAAACATATATATGTACACAAATATATATATATGAGTAAAACTGGTCTGCAGCATGGTGCAATGGAAAGAACACCGGATTTGTATTCAGAACACCTGGGTTTCAATTCCAGCACTTCCATTTATCACCTGTGTGACCCTAGACAAGTCCCTTAACCTCTAAAAACCTCATCTTTAAAATGAGGAGGTTCAACTTTTAAGATCCCTCTAAATTCTAAATCTATACTTTCATGCCCAAGGGACAAAACTAGGTAGAAGCTGCAGAAAGGTAGATTTTGGTTCATGCTAAGGAAACAGTTTGTAACAGCTATCCAAAAGCGGGTGATAGCCTTGGAAAGTAGCTGGAAATTTTTAGGCAAAATCTGAATTACTCTTCATTGGAGACGATATAGTCAGAAGCGGATTAGACAGAATGGCTTCTGGGATCACTTCCAACTTTTAAGATTCCCTGAAGCTCTGAAAGGATTAAGTCAAACAGGGATTAAGTCAAATAGAACCTGAAAGCCTAGACCTCTAGACCTGGCCTGGCAAGAAACAAAAGCCAAGCCCACCTATGTATTTGCATTTTCCAGGCCCTGCCTCTCAATGTCCCTGGTTTCCCTTCACTGTGCTGGTGAGTAAAAAGCCCTCTCAGAGAGGTCAGAACTGGATGAACTTAGGCCAGGGCTGACCAAAGGAGAAGTTAAAGAATCACATTTTTCTTCATTGCTGGTTCTCCCACACTTCTAACTTTGTTTCTTTGAGATTTTAGATTTGCTAGGCAAGGTTTTTCTGCATGCTTAATGCTAAGCCTTCCCTCCATTCCCACCCCTACTCCCCAGTCCAAATTCAGGAAAGGCTGTCATGGAGTTTTGGAGGCTAAAAGGGTAGAATGAGGCTGGAAGGCTAGGGGCCAGACACATCCGCTTTGCTACTGTCAACTTTGAGTTACCCAGGGTCAGATTCAAATTCAAGTTCAACAAAGCATTTTAACTAACTTAACTAAATGCCTACTGTGTGTGAGGTGCTAGGGAATAGATACAAAGATAAAAAAAAAACCCTTGCCTGCCCTTAAAGAAATTACATTCCATTGCATTGTCCATATTCAATTTGTTAAGTGTTATTTTTAATACTATGTTATTAGATGAGAAAATATTTTGTAAAGCATTTAGCATGGTACCTGGCACATAGTAGGTACTATATAGATGTTAGTCATGATGATGATCATGATGATGACGACAACGATGATGATGGTACTAGACACCACAAGTAGGATGTAAGACATATCCCCTGCCCTTCTGGGGCTTACAAGGTACTTGAGGGAACAGGATTGATAAAGATATTTTTTTTAAAAAATACAAGGCAGGGTATGCTAAGTAGTTCAGAGATACAGAAGAAGGAAAGGTAGATCTTTGTTGGAGAGGTAGGAAAAGACCTTGGAGATGGGCTGAAGCTTGGATTGGTCCTTAAAGGATAAGCAGAAGCTGAATAAGTAGGGTAAAGATGGGAGGCTATTTAGAACCCTGGAAACCCCAATAAGCAAAGCTCAAGAGGGCATGAGGAGGATGGTGACTAAACCAGCATGGCCAGAGTAAATAATTGCTTAGGAGAAGAGCAGAGACATATCTCAAAGACCTTGAATCCCAAGTTAAAGAGTTTGGAACTTAATCCATAGACAATAGGAAGCTATTGGAGTTTTTTTTCATGAGGTATTGAAGAGCCATGGACAGATCTGCATTTTAGGACACTGAATATGGCCAGGGAATTAGGATGAGTTGGAGGAAAGAGATATGGAGGAACCACTTAGGTGGTTAGTAAAGCAACCCAGGTGTGCAGTGATGAGTGACTGAACTTGGAACTAGGGTGGGAGTAGCAGGAATGGAAGGAAAAGGACAAATGGGACTCATGATAAAGGACAGCTCTAGAGAATCTAATGATGGCTAGATATTGGAGCTAGGGAGAGTGAATGGGGGCCATGAGGTAGGAACTAAGTCCTATCCATAACGAGGAATAGGCTTTCTGCTCTCTGTGACATCAACATACTTGTGGCAAGGTAAAAAGTGTGCTGAATTTGGAGTCTGAGACGTAGTTCAATCCAAGCTGCGATGCTTGTGATCTGTGTGACCTTGGGGGAGTCACTTCATCTCTGTAGGCCTCAGCTTCCTCAACTGTAAAATGTCGGGGGGGGGGTGAAATTCATTAGGATGAGTTCTAAGGTCTCTTCCAACTCCACATTTATGATGGTGCAGTCTCCCTTTCTTCTTACCTTTTTCTTTGGACCTTCACTGGGTGGATACAGTGTGCGGAGAGAACCTGCTGGGCCCCCGGGTGCTGGGCGGGCAGGAAACATCTGTGGAGATTTGGCCCTGGCAGGTCAGCATTCAGCACCGCAAAGCTCACTTCTGTGGCGGCTCCATACTGGACCCTTACTGGATCCTCACTGCTTCCCACTGCTTCAGGTAAGGCCCCATCCACTTCCCAGAGAGTGTAGGGACCTCAGCAGCTGCAGTGCTCAGACTCCTTGCTCTTGAATTAAGGGTCTGCCCTCCTTCTCTGTCCTCCTTTATCTGGAAGTCTTATTACCAGAGAGGGGGAGCTAGGTAGAGCAGTGGATAGAGAGAGAGCCTGGAGTCAGGAAGACCTGAGTTCGAATGTGGCTTCAGACTCTTACTAGCTAGGTGACTCTGGACAAGCCACTTAACCTTGTTTGCCTCAGTTTCCTCATCTGTAAAGTGAGCTGGAGAAGGAAATGGCAAACCACTCCAGTAACTTTGCCAAGAAAACCCCAAAATGGGGTCACAAAAAGTTGGTCACAACTGAGACAACTGAACAACAAATTGTCAGGGAAGGATCATCTCCTTAGAGTAACAGTCCAGCAACTCAGTTCCGCTGGATTCGACTCGACATTTCTGAAGTACTCACTGTGTACAGGGAACTGTTCTAAACACTCGGGGGAGATGAAAGCATGGATAAGACATACCTTGCCTACATAGAACTTCAAATCTAGTAAGGAAAGATGACACGTACACAAATAACCATGATGTGAAATAACATTGCCAAGTCGTTGCACTGCTCAGAAACTTTCCGTGACACCCTGAGTCCCTGAACATTCCACCCCAGAGGCCTGTAAACAAGAGAGAAAGGGCGCTTGGAGGCCAGAACCACGTATTTGCGTTTTCCAGGCCCTGCCTCTCAATGTCTACGGTTTCTCTTCGTTGTACTGATGATGAAACTTCCGGGGAATCTAGAAGCATGTGCACAGGAGGGATTCTGGAGACTTATGATTTCCCACTAGGGCAATGGCCAGTCCCTGTAGTTCCTGACCCCTATCCCCAGGAGAATAACTATAACTATAATCTGTATATCCCTCAAAAGCCTTTACTGACTTCCTGTTGCCTATAGAATACAATATAAACTGCTTAGCTTGACCTTTAAGGTCTTCCTGTCTTTCTATATTTTTTGTACAGCTCTATGCTTTTCATTAAAGCCAGACTGGGCTACTCACAGTTGCCCAGTCTTACCTTGTGTGTATCTATAGCTTCCTGTCATTTGCAAAAGCCACCCCTTGTGCCAGGAACATACTTCCTATTGAAGTCACAGCCTGTCAAAATCCTCATCCCTCAAGGTCCTGCTTGAGTGCCACCTCCCCCATGAAGCCTTCCTTGGTATCCTCTCCCTACCTCTGAAAGTGATCTCTCCCTCTCCAGATTTTCTTAGAATACTTCATCTAGCTTTCACCTTTGCCCTGTCTCATTCTACCCCTGTACATATAATAGTTATTTGTAAATGTGTTGTACCACCATCATTAGAGTATACAGTCCCTAAGGGCAGATGCTTGAGGAGATTAATAGTTGACATTTATATAGTATTTTAAAGTGTGTGAAGCATTTTATACACATTACCTCACTTGATCCTCAAAGCAATCCTGTGAAGTGGTTATAATTCCACAGGTATTATGTTCCTATTTTGAAGATGAGGAAACTGAGGCCCAGAGTTATCTATAGTCACATAGATAGTAAGTGTCATATGTGCATGAGCATGTGTGTGTGTGTGTGTGTGTGTGTAAACAAAGGTTAATTCTGGGGAGGCAGGGAGAAGACAGTAGCTACTAAAGGAAACAACAATTCTGAGAGGCTTTGATAAAGAGGGAGTGCATGCCAGGCATGAGGGAAATTTCCTTAGGTTTTTTGTGTCACTCTCATGTCATTCTACTCTAATTCATTTTGTACTTATTCTTGCACGTCTTGTCCCCTACACACACAGCCCACACACACACATACATACATACATACACAGACTGTTGGCTCCTTGAAGATAGGCACACTGAGTCTAATTAGACCAACAAATGTACAATGAATTGAACAGGTGCTCCTCGCCTCGCACCAGCACCATTCACAATCTCAGAATGGCGAAGCTCCTTTGGAGAAAAATCAGTTTCTTTTATCAGGACGAAGTTTGTGGCAGGGTACCTCGCCTCCTTCTCAGAACTCCAATGAGTCATTTGATCTCGCCTGAGGCAGGTGGCCCAGGAGGCAAGTGGCCCAGAAGGCGCCCTCTGAAGCCACTGAGAGAGCCACCTAGGGGGAAGGAAAGAGTGAGCCCAGGAGAAGCTGACCTGGGATACAGCCACCATTTTGCCATCTGGGGGCTTCCTATTTGAAGGCCAATTAACTAGGTGCTAGGATCAGTTGTTTCAACACCACTGATGGACTGGCTGCCGGTGGAACTATTAGCACCCTCTGAGTTCCAGTTTCTTGGGGGCAAATTCTGGTCACTCTGCTACTCCCACCCCTGCTACCGCTGCCCCAGCTCCCCTTCCTCCCAGGAACCCAGCCTGGGGCAAAGTCAGAACTACCCTGACCCCTGCTTGTCTCTGTCCTCAGGACCCATTCCAACGTGGCACACTGGAAAGTAAAGGCGGGCACTGACCATCTATACTCCAGACACCCCTACTTGGACGTGGACAAGATCTTTGTTTTCCAGTTCAACAATTTACACCCCAGAGAGAATGACTTGGCCCTGATCAAGCTGAAAAAGCCGCTTGTCATGTCAGGTAAGAGCCAGTGCCCGAGATCAGAGAGAAGAGACACAGGATATCAGGTACAGTACAGTACAGTCCAAAGGCAGCTTTGCCCAAACCCCTTCAGTCACAGATCCTGGAGCTTGAAGCAACCTCAAGACCATCTGATCTAGGCCCCTGCCTTCAAGAAGCCAAAGCATTATCCCTGTTTTACAAATGGAGCAGCTGAGGCCTGAAATGTTGGACTGATTCCCACAAAGGGTTAAGCTCCCTGTTGAGTATCCAAGGAGGTGCTGCTCCCATTAGCAGAAGCAGTACAAGCAGCCGTGAAAAATTCACAACCTTGATGATCCCGGGAGATGATGCTGCTCATTCTGTGGGTAAAATCTCTATTCACCAGGTCCAGAACTCCTCCCTTAGGCAGAATCCCTAGAATGTCTCTGGGCCCACCTAACTCTGATCTGTATCTTGGTTGGTGAAGAGGGAAAAAACTCAAATTATTTCCCTAATACAGGAAGCAAGTTGTACAAAGGGCAAGGCAAATGTGAATTTTTTTTTTTTTTACCATACAAATTCCTCTGAGAGATGTAAGAGACTTTGGGTAGTTCCTAGAGATAAAAGAGGAAACTGTACCATTTATCTTTAACCCAGGAAGATTTAATCCTTCACTGGGTTCAGGGACTGGCAATTATCCCAAGATAACAACAATAATAGCTAAAATTTATATAGCACTACAAAGTTTACTGTGTGACCCTGGGCAAGTCACTTCAGCTGTTTGCTTCAGTTTCCTCATCTGTAAAATGAGCTGGAGAAGGAAATGGCAAAACCATCCCAATATCTTTGCCAAGAAAACCTCAAATGAGGTCACAAAGAATCAAACAAGACTGAAACGATTGAGCAACATCATAAGTCTTTTTGTTTGTTTGTTTTTTAGGCAATTGGGGTTAAGTGATTTTAGTAAGTATCAAGTGTTTGGTCTGAGGTCACATTTGAATTCAGGTCCTCCTGACTTCAGGGCCGGCACTCAATCCACTGCGCCACCTAGCTGCTCCAAACATCATAAGATTCACAAAGCACTTCACAAATATTATCTCAGTTTATCCTCACAAGAACCCTGGGAATAAGGTGCTATTATTATCCCCATTTTACAGAGGAATAAACTGAAACAGATAGAGATGGAGTGATATGTCCAGGATCACACACCTAAGTAAGTATCTGAAGCTGCATTTGAACTCAGTTCCTCCTAACTCCAGGGCCCACACTCTCTCCACATCACCTACCTAGCTGCCCCACCCTTTGTGGCCTTGGGCAAATCATTTTGTTCCTTTGATCGTCAGTTTCCAAAGAATGGCATAGTGAATAAGGGGACAATCTTGAAGTCAAGAAGATCTGAGTTCAAATTGTGCCTCTGACCCTAGGTAAATCCTTTAGGCAATTTGTGCCTAAAGCAACTCTCTAGGAATTACTGTCATAGATGGGTTGTAACCTGCATTAGTGGAGGAAGTTCCTTTGATCCTCAACTCTCAATTTATTTGCCAAGCAGGGATAATTAATTTTGCCAGTCCCTGAGCCCAGTGGAGGATTGAACTTTCCCAGGTAAGGTTAAAAGCCTTGCTCAGTCCCTCTGATTTTTTTAAAAGCCTGGTTCACATGGGGACACTACTTCCCCCACTATCATCACTGTCTAAATGCATTTTATTAAGGGGCCTTTTCTGGCTGGGATGGACACCAAAAGGCTGTGCACAATCCCTGCCTGTTGGGAGCAGATGGTCTAAGGGAATCCCAGCTATTCCCTAGGCTGCCAGAACCAGCCAGATTAAAATAGAATCCGAAAGTGTTTAACAAAATAAATAAAAATACAATAAAACATAGATAATGTTAATATGTGGTTTTCTAAGTCAATAGGTGGCTCACGGGAGCCTAAGGTATGTTTTAGAGGCTCCTGTTTCTGTTTGAGTTTGACACCATAGTCACAGAAACGGAAAAGGCTAAATTAAACAAGTCTGTTACTGAGCACCTTCTGGGCTGGGCAGCTAGGGGGTGCAGTAGATAGAGCGCCATGCCTGAAGTCAAGAAGACTCATCTTCCTGAGTTCAAATCTGGCCTCAGGCACTTACTAGCTGGGTGACCCTGGGCAAGTCACTTAACCCCTTTACCTCAGCTTTCTCATCTGTAAAATGAGCTGGAAAAGGAAATGGTGAACTACTCCAGTATCCTTGTTAAGAAAACTCCAAATGGAGTCATGAAGTGTCAGACATGATTGAATAACAACATTCTGGGTACAAAGATCTGTGTTGGACACCGTAGGTCGTAGTGAAGTGTATGTCCTAGTCCTGACCTCAAGGACCTTGCCATCTTCCTGCATGTAGAAGTGCTTATATGATCTGAACCAGCAACACAGCCCAAGGTCTCACTTTCCTCCACTAACTTTAGCAGAGGCCACGGTGGTGGGTACAAGATTAGAAAACCAAGGCATGGCTAGTGATTCTGCTTCTTACTCCCTGTGTCACTATGAGCTATCACCGAACCCGTCTACACCTCAAGTTCTTCCTAGTCCTCTTAGGGGTGGTCTAGACACTAGATGGTCTCTGAGTTCCTTACCAACTCTGGACCCTATGACCTCCTCCTGTCCCTTTGCTGAGAACTCATCTCTACCAGGAGATCTTCCCTGATTAACCTTCCCCAATGTTGGTCACTCCATAGCACATCATACAACTTGCATATTTTTGTCTATGATTATTTTTTCTGTCTCCCCGCTCTAGCCCTGTAGGGTTGGTATAGATGAGGCATCTAGATAGAGCACTTTTGTGAACTCTGTTCACATGACTATTCAATAATACTGGGCCTGCAGGCTCCAAACCCAAGGTTTTGGAGTGCAAACATTTTTGGAGGGCTCAACTCTCTCTGTCTTTCTCTCTGTTTCTCCCTACCTCTCTGTCTTTGTCTCTCTCTCTCTCTCTAATTCCTTCCCAGCCTCCTTTCATTCTTTCTGTCTCTGCCTTACTCTCTCAATCTCTACCTCCTCTGTTCTTTCTCCCTGTCTCTATCTCTGTCTCTCTCCTTCTCTCTCCCTCCTTCCCATCTCCCTTTTACTCCTTCTCTTTGTCTCACTCTTTCATCTCTCCCGCATTTGCTCCCTGTCTCTCTCCATTTCTCTCTTTTTCTCTCCCCCTCCTTCCCACTTGCTTTTCACTCTTCCTGTCTGCCTCACTCTCTCAATCTCTTCCCCTCTATGTTCTGTTTCTCCTTGCTTCTTCCTTCCCTCACTTTTCTACTGCATTCTCTCCATCTCTTCCTTCCTCCTCTCCTCTCTTTCTCCTTCCTTCCTCCCTCTTTCTCTTCCCCCTTCTATTCTCTCTCTCTGTATTTCACTGTTACTGCCTCTCTATCTCTTCCCTTCCCTCTCCTTCTCTGTTTCTGTCTCTCCCTGCCCCCTGCTCTCTCTCTGATCTGTCTTCTCTTTGTATCTCTCTCCTTCTTCATGTTTCTTTCTGTCTGATTCTTTGTCCCTTTCTTTCCCTCGCTCCCTCACTCCCTCCTCTGCTCCTTGTCTCTCCCCCTACAGATACAGTCAGGCCCATCTGTCTGCCATTCTTTGATGAGGAGCTGGCTCCAGACACCCCGCTGTGGATTATAGGCTGGGGTTTCATAAAAGAGACAAAAGGTAATTTCTTGGGCTCTCCCATCAGCAGGACTCTTCCAAAGTCACCTCCACAAACTGCTTTTATGGACATCTTAGGGGTGGGGGGAGGCAAGGATTGACAACCCCAGAGAGACTTGCAAACCTTTATGAACAGAACCCACCTAATGCCCTCTGAAGTGTGTATAACCTTATACTATATATGTGTATATGTGTGTGTATATATAATGATATAATATAATATAATATGATATGATATGATATAATATAATATGATATAATATAATATAATATAATATAATATAATATAATATAATATAATATATAATATTTATCCTGAAAGGGATGAGGACAACACAGGGAGAATTTCTCAATAGGGAAGGATGTGAAACTGCAGTGGGTGGCTGAAAGAAGCCACAGCCCCCTTCTTCTGTAAAGATTTCCCCAGGAAAATTCGAACAACCCTGCCTAAAAGGCAGGAGCATGGATAAGATGACTTCCCAGGGTCTTCTATATCCCAAGAAATTTGGGCTGAAAAAGAGAAGCCTCCCCATATCCCCAAGACAACGGGTGGTCAGTGGGTGGAAATTTGAAGGTGGAAATATATATGTTTGCTACCTCCCAGGGAAGTTTTCCAAAACTCTGCAACAGGCGGAAGTCCAACTCATTGATAGAAATCAGTGCAACCACCAGGATGCATATTTTGGGAGTGTCACCGAGAACATGCTTTGTGCTGGTGTCCCTGGCGGCGGCGTCGATTCGTGCCAGGTGGGGTCCGTAAGGAGGTGCCATGTTTCCTGAAAAATACTAGTGTTACCTTAGACATAAAATAAGGGAGATATAGGCTTTAAATTCTTAACTCCAATACTTATGACCTACATGACCCTGGGTAAATCTCAGATCAAGAATGATGTCTTGGATTGCAGCATGTTACAGTGGAAAGAATGCCAACTTTGGAGTCAGAGGAACTGGGTTCCAATGTAGGCCCTGCTGCACACTACCTGTGTGGCCTTAGGCAACTCACTTCAATTCTCTGGGCCTCAGTTTCCCAATCTGTAAAAAGAGGAAATTTATCCATTGAACAGATCTCTAAGGACATTTAAGGCCTGTTTCAGTTTTAAATCTATGATCCTAAGATTAAAAGAACACAAAGGACCAGAAGACTGGAAGTTATAGTGAGAGTGAAGAGAGGTAAAGGAGAATTGGGCTAGTATAAGGTATTGAAGGACAGGACATTGTAGTCAGAGAGGGCAATTACAGAATTCAGATTCTTAGAAGGTGAGGGGTTTCCAAGTCATGCCCAAGTCTTGTATGTAACCACTCTGTGGAATGGCAATTCAGTGAGTCATGGAGATGAATGAATGAATAAATAAATAAATAAATAGATGAGCAAATGGCATTTTCTAAGCCCTTATTATGTCCTAAGCGCTGGAGTTATGAAGAGAAGAGCAAAGTTCCTCTTAAGGAACTCATATAATAGTGGGAGACAATGCTTATAGATTTCAGCTGCAAGTCAAATGGGAAGGTCCCGTGGTCCTTAGCAGCAAAGTATATGGTAATGCATCTTCTTTACTGTTATTTCCATTGACAAAACCGTATCTGTTTCTGATGTTGAATCATTTGGCAGTGCCGAGGGCTCTGGTGGTGATAGATGTCATAGGAATTGAGCAGGCTGATGAGCATGAAGGAGAGGGTATTAAAGTGTCAAATTCGAGTTACTGTTACTGACATGATTATTATTAGAATGGTCAACAAGGTAGACAAAGAAAAGGATGTTGGGGCTTGGGATAGAAAGAAAAACTGTGAGCCAAGCACCAAAACCATTAAGAAAGGTGGGAAAGAGGTTGGTCCTCGGGGATTATCCACAAGGATGTAGACAGTGTGGTATAATTGGATGGCCATGAACTTTGGAAGAATGTTTAATAGATAAGTGATGGTGACCGAGGAGGAGTCGGAAGAGACAGGGAACAAGGGGAATGCTGATATCTCTCGTCTCTGAGGGTGATGAGAGGAATGACCAGCTTTGGAGATGATGCATGATTTCATGCAGGTAGTTGGGATGGGGAGCCTAACTGTTCACCACTTCAAGATACTCACAAATGGTATTCTGCAGGTGCCTTCAACAATGCCTAGAGTAGTAACTTGCACACAGTGGAGGTTTAATCAATGGCTGTCAGACTGACATTGTGAGCTTTAAATAAGCGGCACAAACCATAAATTCCGGGAAAGCTCAGAGGACAGAATGAGAGGACAGTGTTATAGAGTATAACACAACGTTAGAGTTGGAAGGGACTTTACGGATTATTTGATCCGGCCTCCTCATTTGGTAGATGAGAAAGCTGAGACCCAAAGAGGCAAATCTCTGAGAAATGACTTGCCCAAAGTCACACAACTTAATAAATGGGAGAGCCAAGATTCAAACCTTCATCTTCTGAAGCCCAAGTCTAGCCAATGCTCTGCCCACTGACCGTACTGTGCCATTTCCCTTCCTTCCTCCTTACTATTCAGGGAAGGCTGAAGGGGTTGGAGGTGAGGGTGGGAAGGCAGGGTTGGTCTGGGAAGGGTGGAGAGGATTAGCATAAGCAGAGAACAGGGCAGGGCATTCTAGGTTAGAGAAGGAGCATATTTAAAAACATTTGCTGTGGTCCTCCTAGTGATTCAGGGTACGCAGTTTTAACATGGTTGGCCAGAGTTAGAAGGATATAATTTATGACTGGGGAACAATTGAGCTAACTGACCCATATAGGGATCCAGCCTATATCCCTAGAATCCAGCCTTGGCCTCATGGCTAGTAAAGAAAGAAAGTTGGCAGTCTTAATGAGACCTCAAGTGAATAATCATACCTTAGTTAGGGGAATACATTAGTATAATCCATCTTATCTTCCTGGAGCTGAGAAATCATCTTCTGAAAAGATGTTTGCCCAGCCTCAAGGTGGAAAGAAAAACACTCAGTGAGAACTATGGCCTCAAAGAGCTAGAGACTTTCCAAGCTCACTCTTTGCTCTGAGATGCGGGGAGGACACTGGAGTTGACATTGGTGTCACATGAGAGCATGTGTGATGCCTCTCCTCATCCCACAGATTCTCCAAGTCCCACAGAGGATCCCCCGTATGCCTCGTATCAGCCAGCTGGTGGGGAGGGTGAAGAGGAAGTGAGGGATGAAAAGGATCTGAATCTAAAGGCTTCTCAACAGTGAATAGGCTGGGTCAGGGAATGGGGAGACTTTCACAATGCCTATCCTTCCTGGAAGGTCACCCCATTCTGTTCTCTCCCAGGGTGACAGTGGTGGGCCCTTGATGTACTTCAAGGAAAGGTGGCAGATAGTGGGCATCGTGAGCTGGGGTTATGGCTGCGGGCACCACAATATCCCAGGGGTGTACACCCGCGTCAGTTTCTTTCTCAACTGGATCTATAACATCCGGAAGGTAGGTATACTTGACTCCACAATTCACTACCTCCTAAACTCCTTATAGCTTCTCAACTATGGCCACTGTGAAATAGAGCCAGCCCTTAGCTGGCTGACTGTATGAATTTTAAACGTTCCAGGAAGCTTTCCTTCCAAAAAGCACCTAACCCATGTCAAAATTTCCACCATTAGAGCTTCATTTCTCTGACTTAACCTTTGTTAAATACACCTCTTTCTCAATAAGAGGTGACACAGTAATTTATGCCCCAACCTGAGAACAAGTTTTGATTGAGGGTAAAGGGCATGAGAACAATAAAGACTGGGGATGGAGAGGTGGGTGAAGAATCTAGAAAGGAGAGGCCTGGAAGAGATACTTTACATATTAACAACTAAAGCTATCCTGCTAGGTGGTAGAGTAGTAGATAGAGCACCAGGCCTGGAGTCAGAAAGACTCATCTTCCCAGTTTCAAATCTGGCCTCAGACAATAGCTGTGTGACCTTGGTCAAGTCACTTAATCCTATTTGCCTCAGTTTCCTCAACTGTAAAAATGAAGGAAATGGCAAACCATTCCAATATCTTTCCCCAAGAAAACCCCAAAAGGGGTCATGAAGAGTCAGACACAACTGAATAAGAACAAAACTATCCAATCAAATCAACATTTATTAAGCACTTACTATGTGCCAGGCACTGTGCTAATGCTGGGGATATAATTAATAAAAAGAAAAATAGTTCCCTGCCCTCAAGGAGCTTATAAATCTAATGGGAAGAGTTGTTGTTCAGTCGTTTTCAGTTGTGTCCAGCTCTTTTGTGACCCCATTTGGAGTTTTCTTGGCAAAGACACTGGAGTGGTTTACCATTTCCTTCTCCAGCTTATTTTGTAGATGAGGAAACTGAGGTACACAGGGTTAAGTGACTTGACCAGGGTCACACAGCTAGTAAGTGTCTGAGGCCAGATTTGAACTCAGGAAGATGAGTCTTCCTGACTCAAGGCCTGGCACTCTATCCACTGCACCACCGCCTGCCTGTCCCTAATGAAAGGAGACAACGCACCAAAGAAGGCAGGAAAAGAGGAGGGACGGGGCAGGACGAGGGTATCTTTTTCTGTGGACTTGAAACCAGGTGGAGAAGCAGGTACAGAGTGGAACGAGCCAAAATGTCCAGTTTCTCCCTTCTAGGGAGGAGTTTGGTATTCTGCCCTCCAATCAGAGGGGAAAGGAGACGAGGGAGGTGGTGTCAGTCAAGGTTAGGGTTAGCAGCATGATGATGGGTTTAGAGAAGATGGGCTTAACTTGGGAAGGACATCTTGTTTTCTGGAGCTGAATCTGGGTGGATCTACAAATACAGAGTGGATCAATCCCAGAGTCTGGGGTAGATCCCAGAATGTCTATTCCAGAGTGCAATGAGCTATATTGGGCAGTCATGGATTCCCTATCACCTCAGGTCTTTGAGCAAAGACAGGATGGCCACGTTCTGGGTACCTGATAAAGAAGATTTATATTTAGGAAGGGATAGGACTAGATGGCCTCTTAAATACTCTCCAACCACTAGACCCTGTGTCTCTTAGAAACTTCACAAGGGGGCAGCTAGGTGGCACAATGGATAAAGCACTGGCCCTGGAGTCAGGAAGACCTAGTTCAAATCCTGTATCAGACACTAGTTGTGTGGCCCTGGGCAAGTCACAACCCTGATTGTCTCCAAAAAGAAAAAAAAAATTTAAAGAAAGAAATTTCATTAGGTTTCCTAGGGCCAGGTCTATCAGAAGGGTTTTAGTATTTTCTCTCTCTCTCTCTCTCTCTCTCTCTCTCTCTCTCTCTCTCTCTCTCTCTCTCTCTCTCTCTCTCTCCATCCCTCCCCAGAAATGAAGCTTCTGCTGTTATGAAGATTCCTTCAGGAGCTGTTTTGCCCGTCCTCATCCCTAACCCCCTTCTCATCACAAGCAGGAGTTTCTACCCTGAGCAGGATATCATTTCTCAAAGAAGACTGCTTCCTTCGGACATTTCAAGGCTTCCTTAAAGCAGCTGAGGGTCCTGGGTTCAAATGCCATGCCCTAAAGAAGGAATTCCATGGCCACCATCTCAACCACCAACTCCTGGCCCCTCTCCTAAAGGAGAGCTACCCCTCTGAGCCGAGAAGTCTTCTGGGCCTCCACTTTCCAGAGTGCTCCCTCAGTGCGAGGAGTGTTGAACAGCTGTTCCCTCTTGTGGGCTCCGACCTCCCCTGATAGGGTGCTTGGGGAGAAAAGGGGTCTCCCTAAGGACCTTTCCACCAAGGCAGGGAGACCAGTTATGACATCCATCCCAGGATAGATTGGGAAAAGGGCGTTCCCTTACTGCTGTGGAGTTTGTGAATATTGCTGCCATCTTCATTGCTTTCACAAGAAAATACAAGGCCTTTGGGATGCTTGGCTGTGTCATCGTGGTCTGTACTCCACTAGGACTATTATCACACTGGGCACACAGTCTAAGGCTTACCTTGGGAGGAATTTGAGAACCTAAGAAAGCACTCTGACTCATCTAACTTTTGTTAGTGTGTCAGTGATGGTAGGTTCAAGGAGAGGATTTGGTCCACAATTGCAGTTTCACCAGGGTTGGGAACTCATAGTGTGGAAAGCCCCTCCACTAGTGCAGATGGACAGCTGATCAGTAACTATTAGTCTGAGAAAGTTACCTGAAGCATTGAGAAGTTTAATGACCTTTCCATGCTCACACAACTGGTATATGTCATGGGTAGGACTTGATCTCAGATCTTCCTGACTCCAAGGCCAGCTCTGTATGCATTACCACATGCTGACTGTCTAAGGAGACAATCACAGCACTCAGAACTGCTGGGAGATAGGACCTGCTGTCAGTGCTGGGCTAATGAAGGTGGGGGGGAGCCAGTTTCTTACCCATCCAGGGCCTCTCCTGTCATCCCTTCCTCTCTGCCCTTCTCCAGGTGGCATTTAGTAGTGGAAAGAAATCTAAGAATGAGAGTCAAGAGACCTGAATTCTAGTCCTGTCTTTGCTCTCTGACCTTGAATGACTCAATTCACCTGTTGGGGTCTATTTACTTACCTGTTAAATGAAGGGAAAGGGTTGGGTGACCTTTAGCTCTAAACCTGTATTGGACTGGCTAAAGAAAGAGATGACCTATGAGTTTGAGATTTCCCTTGTATGGGACCATTTGGACCAGCGAGAGTTGTAGGATGTCATGGAATCCTAAGGATTCCTCAGAGTTGATTAGGTCCAAGTCTGTGTCTCTCTATCTCTTTGTCTCTGTCTCTTTCTCTACCTCTCTATCTCTCTGTCTCTGTCTGTCTGTCTCTCTCTCCCTTTTTCCTCTCCTCCATTTCTCTCCCCACCTCTCTCTCTCTGTCTCTCTCTGTCTGTCTCTCTCCCTTTTTCTCTCCTCCATTTCTCTCCCCACCTCCCTCTCTTTCACTCTCTCCCTTTTTCTCTCCTCCATTTCTCTCCCCACCTCTCTTTTCTTCCCTCCCTCTCTCTCTCACTCTCTTCTTCCCTTTCTCTCCCCCCTCCCCCTCTCCTTCTCTCTCTCACACACACATACTCTCTCTCTGTCTCATACTCCCACATTTTCTCTCCTTCTCTCCCTCCTCTGCTCTCTCAGTCTCCTTCATCTCTCTCCCTCCTTCTTCTATTCTCTGCCCTTCTATCTCTATCTCATTCTTTTCACACACACACACACACACACACACACACACACACACACACACACACACACACACCATCTTCCCCTTACATATAGAATCAGGCCTATCTATCTATCCTTCCTTGTGGAGAAGCTGACTCTGGACACCCCACTTCCATGTTACGTGTAAGGAAACAGGTGCAAAAAAGACAAATGACTTGCTAGTGGTCACATGGTTAATTAGCAATAGTTCTGCTCTAGATCTAGGCTTTCCTACCACTCAGTCAGGAGGCTTCCACTATAGCACATTATAACTCCAGTGGGCTTCCATAAAAAGTTAATAAGGCTCTTAATATAAGTATAAATTGATTTTACTTCATTCAACCTGGAAATAACCAGTGCAGTGGGGAATACACACTCCAGTAATATTGGGAGAGCTCCTTAGCTTGACAGAGAAGAGGTCCTGTTCAATAGTCAATAAACATTTATTAAATACCTACTATGTGCCAGGCACTGTACTAAGCACTGGGCATACAAATATAAAAAATTAAAAAGATAGTCCCTGCCCTCAAGGAACTTACAATCTAATCAAGGAAGAAAAAACACACCAAAAAAATCCTGAAAATTGGGGGAAGGAGGGGCAAGGTATGGGGGTAGGGGTTGGGGGCCAGGAATCATAGTGAAGAAGTCAGAGGAGTCCCAAGGCAGTGTGCAGCAAAGTGAGAAAGGAGATGTCTGAGCTCTCTCCTTTTTTTTTTTTTTTTTAGCTCTCTCCTTCAGTAGAAATTTGGAGTTCTTGGCCTATCCTCTAACATGAAGGCTGAGGGTAGTGATGAGATGAGGTCCCAAGGCTGAGGAGATCTTATAAGATGATGAGGTTACTCTAATAATAAGCTTTCTGGAACATGGGGGGGAGAAGTCAGAAAAGCCCCGAAGCAGTGTAGCTAGGACGGAAATGAGGAGATGGTATTTGTAAGGATCCGATGGACGCCATTTTTGTTGTTACTGTACATACACGTTAAGTGAACTACACATGCCAGCCCATGGGGTCACAGAGAGTTGGACATGACTGAACAGCAACAAGCTGGCCCAATCCTGGACATCCGGTTGCCTTCTCGCTGGTTCTGGCAGCCCTGTCAGGATGATGGTGATAGCCTAAGGTTACTTAGCACCTTTGTCCCAAAGCATTTTTCTATAGGATTATAGAAGCTTGGAAGGAACTGTAGAGATCATCTTGTCCAACACCCTAATTTTATAGACAGGGAAACGGAGGCCTGCAAAGAAGAAGTGGTTTGTCCACTAGTGGTAAAAAGCAGAGGAGGCATTTGAACCCCCCCCCCCATTCTTACCATAACTTCTCTGATCTGTTCCTTCAAAGGCCTATATACCTAGACCATCCCTAGAAGGGAAGGAGCAGGGATGATTCTTTTCTTCCCCACATTTTTGAGGGAGAAGCTGAGATCCAGATTTTCTCGTCTGGCAGAAGTCACACAGCGGGGCAAGGACAAAGCCAGCAGAATCCAGATGTCTTGACTCTCAGCCCAAATATTCTCCATGAAAACAATTTCTCAACTGCTGATGGGGAATGTGTCTAGAAGCTCAGATCGACTGCTGCTGCTTCTCCCTCCCCTCTCCCCTGCAGCTCCTCACCCCTTTCTCTCCATCCCTAAAAGAAGTGGAAGAAAGGCAATCCCACTCAGACTCACGGCCAGGCCTTTTGGACTCAACCTTAGCAGAGCATGGGGAGTCCCTGGAGGTTTTTGACAATCCAGATTCTCTCAGTGGCCAAAGAAGTTTGCCAAGAGGACCTAAACTGCCAGGTTTGGGCCTCTATCCTCGGCCACCAGTTCTGCCTCCAGAATCATTATGGCATATAATGGACCTTTTCCAAGAACAGGAGACCAGAGATACAAACTTGGCAGCAGTTGGAATCTGGATAAGTATGGATATTCACCCAGATAACAGAGGTTATCCATATTTCTTGGCTGCTGGGTCCAAGATAGAGCTAATCCCGAGGATCAAAGAAATCACAAGGGCCTCTCCTAGTATTCAAATCCATCCATCTGGGCAGGTTTCAACTCATCAGAAGCCTTGGATTCCTATATTTGCCATTGCATCAATACATGGAGCTGGGATAGCCTCCCAGGTTGCTCCCCTCAAAATTAGGTAGGGGCAGAGTGATACAGGAGAAAGAGTATGGGGTTTGGAGTCAGGACCCCTGGATTTGAATTAATAGTCCTATGACCCTTGTTAAATCATTTAACTACTCCGAGCCTCAGTTTCCTCATCTATAAAATGGGGATCACAACACTTATACCACCTGCTTCAGAGGGATGTTATGAAGAAAGCGATTGGTAAACCCTAAGGCCCAATGTCAATGGAGACAAAGCAAGGCTGGGGTGGTAGAAGCCTGAGAAGGCAGGGGAAATGGGGTAGGACCTTCAGGGGGAAAAAAAAAGATCAGAGAAGTCATAAGCAACCTCGCAAAGGACTCGGGAGCGAAGACTAAGGGGGGTTTTGGGGTGAAGTGAATTTCAGGGGAAAAAAATCCCACACAAAGTAATTTTCTAATAAAAAGTCTTCTTTGGATCCAAGATCTTGAGCACACTGAGCCCCACAATGCCCACTCAGGGTCAGGTATCAGAGGGGAAAATAAAAGGCCTAGAGACAAGAGGACAACTCCTTTTTTTCATACCAAAGGAGGGGAACAGCATCGAATGTGAGGAGAAAGGATCTCATATTTATAATAACATCTCATATTTGTGCAGGAAGGAAGGGAACAAGCATTCATTAAGCACTTTCTATGTGCCAGGCACTGTACTAAATGCTTTACAAATATGATCTCATTTGATCCCCTTAACAACTCTTGGAGGTAGGCACTACTATCATTTCCATTTTACAGTTGAGGAAGCTGAAGCAGACAGGAGGAAAAATGACTTGCCCAAGATCATACAGCTAATAAATGAGGTTGGATTTGAACTCAAGTCTTCCTGACTCCAGGCCCAATGCTCTGTCCACCGTGTCACCTAGCTACTGCCAAGCCTTAAATTCTTACACAGAGTTTTAAGATTTGCAAAGAGCTTTACATATATCTCATTTTATCCTCACAATAATACTAGAAGGTATGTGCTATTATTGTCCCCATATTACAGATGAGTAAACTGTTTGGGCAGCTAGGTGGCTAGATAGAGTACTGGGCCTAGAGTCAGGAAGACTTATCTTCCTGAGTTCAAATCTGGCCTCAGACGCTCCCTAGCTATGTGACCCTGAGCAAGTCACTTAACCCTGTTTGCCTCAGTTTCCTCATCTGTAAAATGAGCTTGGAGAAGGAAATGGCAAACCACTCCAGTATTTTGCCAAGAAAACCCCAAAATGCACTCACAGAGTCAAACACAACTAAAAATGACTGAACAACAACAGCAACAAACAACAACACTGTTTGGGGCACCCCTCTTGAAATGGTGCCCAAGTAGAGAGGGATTCGTGTACATCCATCCACATTTGAAAGAGGTAACTGCGACATAATCGGAAAAATACTGAATTTGGAGCCACAAGCCCTGGGTTTCAGTCCCAGCTCTGCTGTTTGCCAGCTATGTGACCTCAGGCTAATTATGTCTTCTGTCTGATTCTGTGACCTCCTGTGTAAAATGGGCATAATGATGCTGGTAATATGAGAGTTAAAAGAGATAAGAGATATGAAGTCAATAAGCATTGACCACCCACTGTTTGGAATGCCTAGTGCAAGGTGCTAATGAAAA